TGTGGGCTTTGTTGCTTCTGGGCTAGATGGCCGCTTGTTTACTTTCAAGCCTTTAAGTCCCCAGACGCTATAGGTCTCGATAGCCGGAGGCTGTAATCTTGACAAAGGCAAACTGCCAGGCCTCTCTGCCACAGCACCCCTGGGTTGGTATCTGAATGCAAAAGGATATTGCCTTTTATTGCTTAGCCTAGACCAGTAGTTCTCAACCTGTGGGTCGCGACCCCTTTGGGGGTCGAATGGCCCTTTCATAGGGGTCGCCCAATTCATAATGGTAGCAAAATTACAGTTATGGAGTAGCAACAAAAATAATTTTACGGTTGGGGTGTCACCACCACTGAGGAGCGGTATGAAAGGGCTGCGGCACTGGCCTAGACTGAGCTAAACTTTTGTCCCTTGTAACAGGATGAGTTGTAGGTAGTACATATTTTTTAGTTTGGAGACGGATACTACTGGATACTGGACATATCACGATTTTGGACGTGGCTGCTACAAAGCTTTGTGTTTCCGCAGAGCAAAACAGTAACCGAAGCCCCACCCACAAAGGAAGCTCCTCTGATAGGAAATGGGAGGCTGGGAGAAAAGAGACAGTTACCAAACATGAAAACATCCTTCCCCCAAAAGACCACAGCGATTCTAACCTTTGGACGCCCTTTTAAAAGATTATCTATTGTCCAGGAAAAAAAAAAAGTCAGTTCAAAATGACACAAAATCAGGACACAAAAACGTCATTTATATCTTTTAAGTACATCCAAAAGTGGCACAGAGAAAGGGGGGGTGCATCTCTCTGTTTTCCCAACTGGCACACACCGTTTCGCGAGGTAACCACCAGGCATTTCAAAGAGTTAGGCTTGGGGTTTGTCATTGCTGTTGTCTTCAAAACCATTTCTGTTCGTACTTTATTTCATTTTCATAAGCCACCGGAGGACTGCGTGTTCTCGCCCCTCTTATTTATGTTTCAGAAATAAATCAAAGGTTTCCATGGGGCCGTTCCAATTCCTGGTAACCCCTGTGCATCGGGGTAGAAGTGTGACTACGGGGTGTCCGAGGGTTAGTTTCTTTTTCAAAGTTGATGGCCAGGTCTTTCTTCCGAAGCTCCTCTGAAAGGTTTGACCTTTCAACCTTTGACCCTTCAACCTTTCCCTCAGCAGCAAGCCTGTTAACCACTGGCACCACGGGGTTCATTTCGACCTACACGGGTGCTATAGGACAGAGTCAAACTGCTCCAGGGGGTTCTGATCGGTGTGGAAGCAGACTTCCACACCTTTCCCCTGTGGGGCAGCTGGTGGGTTTGAACTAGCAACCTTTCGGTTAACAGCCAAGCCCTCTGACCATCGCCCCACTGGGGCTCCTTTGCATGACCAGGCATTCTAATTCTGTTCAAGCCAGCTTCTTTCCAAGGAACCCCGATGGCACAACAGCTAAGTGCTCCACTTTCAAACCAACCAGGGGTTCCTGAGTGGGACAAGCCTGGCATTAGGCTCCTGTAAAGATGATCGGTAAGAAAACTCGAGGGGGCACCTCAACTCTAGTCATGTGGGGTTGCCGTGCATCAGATCACTGGACGACATCCAACTTCAGGCCTCTCCCGGGCAGGCCCACAGGACCACCCTCCTGTGGACGGCTGGAGGGTTTCCAGGCAGCCCAGTGGGCTCTGGCCGCACCCTCATCACTACAGCTCGGGGGCTCAGTGTTCCGATGTCCTCTGGCTGTGAACTAAAGGAGGAAGGCCCAGAACCCTTGCTCCTTTACCCCTCGATGAACTCAGCGTGCATGTCACTTCTTGAGTTGTAGCCAAGACAGTCAACGCATTTCAGATCTGAGGAAACCTGAGGGTTTGCAGTTGTTGACTAGAAATTATCTTTCATTTCTCAGTTCACTGCTGGGGCTTAAATGATCAAATTTAATAAGAACAGCCACTCAATGGGTACCCAAAGCTCAACCTAACGAGCCTTTACCACAGGGATCCGACAGATGTCACCCTCAGGAGCTCCCCAAGGGGACAGCACATCCCTTCATCCGAGAACAGGCTGCCGATGGAGTGCAGCACAAGTCCCATCATGCTTCAGGTGCATGTCAACACCCCACAACACTCCTCTCACGGGGGGCGGGGGGGAGGGCAGGGGGGCGGGTGTCAGGATGTTAATAGAACCAGGGCATGTGAGGCAAACGGCCAGGTCCTTGCATAACTAGAGGCCTGAGAGGGAAGAAATACACCAGATCGACGGTTCAAATCCATTTGCCACTCCACCAGAGAGCGTTGCCGTGTCTGTTCCTGTAGAGACTCATCCTCTTGGACACCTTCGATAGAGTCATTCTGGCCATTCAATGGCCGTGGAGTTTTGTTTCTGTTTTGTTTGGGTTGGGCCTATGAGGTAAGTGCTGAAGTGTGTTTAGAATGACGCCAGGGTCTCCTGTGGGTGGGAGACACTGGATTCACTCCCCTGCACAAACCGGAGGCAATGACCTTGATTTAATCTGCTGACTTTCCAGCTAATAGAAGCATATACACCATGGGGCTTCAAAACGTCCGGGGAAAAACTACATTATCTTTCAATTCCATTTTCAATGAACTACATGAAGCCCCTCATACGTCCTCTCATGATTCTCATTCTCCTTAGTCCCACCCTCCAAAAGGACAGGCTTCCAGCATTTTAACCCCCAGAGACTTCCTATACATCCCTTTGAACACAACAAAGTTCCTTTCCTATCTCTAACTCAGAGCGACATAACCGTCTACCACAAAATTCTTGTAAACATTCTACCCGTATATGAATGGCCTCGCTTCTGCCCCCCAGGCCTTCAGTCTGTGTGCTGAATTCTTGACGAAAGTGTACCCCTAGATTTAAAATGTCTTAACAACTCTACCCATAACCACTCCTGGCTAATCACTATCCCCTGGAAAGGGCCCCAAGATTTAGCTGTTTATTTCTAGTGTCATGGAGTTGGGAGGAACCTCAAAGGACCTCCAAGGGCACACCATCTCTCCCAGCCCCACCCAAACTCTCCTAGCCTAATCACAGCCAGTTTATGATGACGCGCCTCCTGGCAGGAACGCGTGCCTTATCTGTTTTTGGAGTTCCCTCCAGGCCAAAGAGAATAATCTTACTAACCACTCCCCGGGAAGCTCCCAGCGGCTCCCAACCCTGAGCTGTGGATCAGAAACAGGCGGGACGGTGGCTCTGGGAAGGTGAAGGGACCCATTCCATCAGGCACCTTCCATGAACGCCACAATCCTGTTTAAACAAATGTGAACGGGACCTCCTCTGTTGAAGTCATCATAGGCCCTGAGCTCCTAATAACCATTCTGGCTCGCTGCGATCTGCGTGGCCGGCAGTTGGAAGCCACCTGCAGCTCCTCAGGGAAAAAGACTGGGCTTTCTACTCCAGCAAACAGTGACAGGCCCGGAAACCCACAGTCAGCACTGACTCCATGGCCGTGAGCTTGATTTTGATTGGCTATCGTGAGGTGCCTATCGAGTCCCTTCAAACACGCGGCAATGGTGGTGGTGGTCACAGCAGGGAGCACTGCTCAGCCCGCACCGGCTTCACAATCCCGGGCGTCTGCGTCACTCAGACGCTGTTCTGTTGTCATCCAGGATTGCATTGCCTCATTTGTAGAAGCAGATCACCAGGTCT